CTGGACTGATTATAAAAAGGTAAAACACTGAATAAACTAAGTATTATTACAGTTCTTTGTAATATACAAAAAATAGACCTGATATTGTACTTTCAAGGCAAACTTGAACGTCCAAGCTTTTTGAAGAGTAACCTCCCATTCCATATAATTTTAAAAATATAATAATTTTTTTTATTATTATTCAATCTGGGTGAATTTTCAGAAACAGATTGTAATATTGCACGAGGTAGGCATGTATGTTTAAACTCAGAAATCTGACTGGGTAATACCAAGCTCTTTGGCTGTAATCCACAGAACTACTTGAGATATATCTAGCAGTTATATCTAGGCTTGCTTTTGGAAGAACCCATATAAAACCCCGGGGGATTTAATTTCAATTTCATAATAAGTCTACTATTTTATTAACAACCTCATAATAACCTAGATTTGTTTCTTATCATGAATCTGGGCATAAAAATGATAAAGATAAATAATAGATTTAATTCTTGCCCTAAAAATCTTACTGGGTATTTTTCCTCAAAATAATCCAGAAAATCAAACTGAATTTAAAAATGATTCCTAATGCCGGCTCTCTCCGCTTGTTAATGCCTACAGGACACTTCCATAGGAATGAGGGGCTGCTGATGAGTATATAAGAAAAGATATGGTGTAGGAAATACATCTATTGTAGTTTATGACTAATGATAGAAAACTATTAGCAAATATTGTTTTAAAAACAGTTAAACTAAAATTGAATTGTTACTGATTTGAAAGATGAGTCTTGTGCACATCATTAAATCTGAACTCTCAACTTTTTTTCATAGAAAATCAATGCAAAACTCCATGAAGGGCTCTGTCAACACTGTAAGGAGGTCCTGGAATGGCGTGTGAAATTTAATAAGTATAAGCCATTAACACAGGCTAAAAAATGGTGAGTAAATTATTATTGTAATATACTAGTTGCCATATACTAGTTGGGCAGTCCAGCAGATATGGAAACATATTCAATTGTGGCCAAAGACAGGGTAAATCAGACTACATAGAAGCCCCCCTCCCCCTTTTTAAAGAAAGCAAAAATGCTGTAGGAGTCAACTATACTAAAAATATGCATTGTTATCTACTTCTGAGGCTTAATTGATAAATAACAAGGCAGGCCAAGGAAGGATTAACATAAAACCCTCCTGCATTGTGAAATCTGTAATTAAACTGAAGCCATAAACCATTTCCTTAACCTTAATGTAGGTAAATAGCCTAAATATGAAAATGCATCTTCAATTTTCTGAAGCCTAGAATGGTTCAATAAGTAAAAGTAGTTCTTCCATATTTTTAGGGGCAATCAAGAAGCAGCCTCAGGAGGCTGTGATTTTAACCACAAAAACAGTGGGAAGTGATCAGCCCTTTCCTTGATAACAAAGGAAGCAATTCTGGGCAGCTTTAAGCATAGTTTTTCCATGACCCTTATCTGTTCTAAGACTTTTGAATGTGGTTTTCATTAAAAAACATATCTAGGCTTTGTAACATACATTTGTGTCTAAGTGCATCACCAGGTGATTCATGCAAAGGAATTGTAAATAACCTTTGGGCTTAACTCTGTTTTAAATGTGTCTTATCAGTATTATTCAAGTCCCTGTTTTCCAGTGGAAAAGGTGTGTTCAAAACAAGCGTGATTTAATTCAGTCCTGTACATAGAGTTAAGAAGTGCATAACTTTCAGAAGCTTCTGCGCTTCTTTAGGGATTTTTTTTTATACTGCAAAGTTATATGAAAATTATTCAGAGTTGCATTAATGGTTTTTGGCAGCTAAAAAGTAATCTTGATAACTGTGTTTCCATGTGTGGATGCTATCTGCATCTGATTTTTATTACTATTCTTTGAAGGCCTACATTACAATTCATCCCGTTAAGATACCTTGGCCTATAGGAGAGGCTTTTTAAGGGGACGTCTGAGAAGAGAATGAGAAAAATACCTCCTAGTTTCCTAACCTTGGTGGTATTTTTCTAGAACCTAGCCACTTTAAGAAGATATTTCATCCTAAAACCGGGTAAATTGACAGATTTGAATACTTTATATCATTTAAAAACTACAGAACATTGTTAAAGTGAAATTAATATGTAGATATCAGTGACAGTAATCAGCACAGTATGATTTATAAATCAAAGTGAAAAATACAGTTTTATTTGGTCAGTAAAACAATATTCATATTTTATTTATTTATTCATACATACATGCACACATACAATGTCTATAGCAGTGTCTTTGGGTGGTACACCAAAGATTAAAACCAAAGCCAAAACATAAAATACAAGAGAGAACCCTAAAATAATAATAGTAATAATAATATATTTAAATATGTCTAGATCTAAAAACAATTCAGTTTTAATTCATACAAACCAAACAATCCACAAACAGATCTGGTTTAACCTCCTGGCCCAGGTGCCTGAGGGAACATCCAGATTTTTAATGCCTTATAAAAGACCAGGAGTTAAGGTCATCCAAGAATTAAATGTTAAAACTTTATGCCCAACTTTTGGTTGTGGTACAGGACCATGAGTACAATTCTAGTCCAAAAATGGTTTCTGTATCAGATTAAGTTCTGTATCAAATTTGTTTTTCAAATACAAAATTATTTTAGACAACAAGGCATACTCTCACAATTAACTTGCCATTCTGTACAGCACACACAAATCTAATGTGTGCTTTACAGAAATACAAATATTAAATAATATTTAATAGGAAGATGGCAGGTTGAAGAGGGAATTATTTTCCCGAGTTGTTGGCCTTTATGACATTGTCACCAAATATGGAAGAATGATCCAATCTGATTGTAATGGTTCTAACAGCTTTTAGAAAATGAGTTAACAATGTTAGCAATCAATATTCCAGTGATACACCATTGGTAAACACCTTATATCAGTTTTCTCTAAGTGTAATACTGTAAATTTCATATTTGTCTTCCACTAAAATTCTTATTGTTGTATACCAATTGTGTTTCAATTTTGTGTCTGTTTCATCATGCATCTTTAACTTGTTTGGTTTCTCAGTAATATTTCACCAGGAATTTATAAAGGCCCAGCAAATGCTCCAAGTCTTGTGTTATAAAGTTTTCTAATTCAGTCAACATTATTTAGTGTTCTACTTTCCTCTTGTAATTCCTTTAAAGGTATCCTGCTTATTTGAAGATATTGAAGCTGGTCAGATGGTTCTGACCATTCCAAAGATAGTGTCTTGAAAGATTTCATCTTTTTCTTGTTGCAATCTGTGCAATTTGTTATCTTGCCAGTGACCAAATGTCTTTGCATGTTCATGTTCATTAAAAAAATGCTTAATAATGAAGCAAGAAGTGATAAATCTGAGCTAATTATTTTTGTTTATCCCATACTTTTAATACACTGCTTATTATCGAATTACCTCTTATAAATTGTCTCTTGCTGTTTGTATCAAGCCAAAGGTATTTGTCTTGATATAAGCCATCAAATCAACAAACATATAAACCAGCTGGAAGTTCTGCTCCTTCAAGAGGTAATCTAGCTATTAAGATGATATAATTCAGCCTGTTTCCCAAGTTGAACAGTATTGTTGGTTATGGCTGCCGCAGGCTGGATTCCAAAGAACGAATGAACAATGGACACTAGTGTAATCAAAATTAAAGCAGCTTTATTGATTAGTGTGGTAAACTTACATAGGAGAGACCCTTTTATGATTAGCTGTGACAGATGCAAACAAAGGGAGAGGTGAGCCGTGACAACTGTTGGTACTGTGTTGCTTTTATTGGGCAAGTTTTATACCCCTTTATCCTCTCCCCTCCCCTTGTGCTAGTTACATTACATTGGGAAAATAAATCATGAAAGAGTTGCAGTTTTAAGTGTCAGCAAGGAAAGGTTACATATTAGCAAGGACAATAATAGCTTGATAAAATGCAGATAGTCCTCACTTAACAACCCTAATTGGGAGCGGCAACTCCATCGCGATGCGGTAGTTAAGCAAAACATCATGAGACTGCTTAGCAACAGCAATTCCAGCAGTCCCAGTTGCTGTCGTTGAGCAAATCCCATGTGGTCATTAGGTGAGGACCCACCTGGATCCAAGCCATTCTTGGAAAAAGGTAAGGGACTGCTTCCACATCAACTCCCCTATCCACCTATCTCCCCCTCATCTCTGCCCTTTTGGCTGCCTGCCTACCTGCTGCCCTGCCATCCAGCCCTGCCGCCACACAACTGGCCAGGTCCTTCTTTTGCACCAGCACACCCAGGTCCTCTTGCGCACCAGCCAGGGCCTTCTTTCACAAAAGAAGCATTAATTAGGAGAGCATTACTTTGATATACTTAGCAAATATTAGGGCTTAATGTTTGAAAAACATTTTGAAATGTTGCAAATGTAGAACTATCAGCAGTATAGTCCAGATATTTGCTACACATGTTGCTCTTGCAGTATGGTTGGCAAGATCTTTAAACAGCTCAGCCTCCAATTCCTTTTACCCCTCACTTGCCTAAGATGTCTTTTCAGTTAAGAAGCAGAATAACATATGAACAGGATTATCAGCTGGCCAGAAAAAGAAAAGCTCTATGACTGGCTCTGGCAGTTTATGAATGTGCATGATATAGTTGCTGCTAAAAAAAAAAAAGTGCAGAGGCTGGTTGGCAACTGTAAGTAAACATTTAAATATGTCAGTTTACAGTTTTAGTTTCATAGCTGCTTGAACAATTAAATATTTTTCTGTCAAATGGTAAATATGATCAGAAAAATAAACAGAAAAGTTTATTGAAAGATGCACTAGAAGATAAATAAATATGGCCAGGTATTATGACATTCAGATCTAATTAAATTATCTGTAATTTAATTTAACACATTTTAAGAACAATTAACTGTTAAAGAGCATCATGAAACTTAGAACTGATAAGGAATTAGGCATTACAAACTTCATTTTCTTCCCAAGATAATTTATCCTTCTACTACATTTGTTTCAAAATTTCTGAAAGTTTTTACAAATAATATCTTTCTTTAAATACATGAAACTTGGAAAGATTCTAGTTATGACTTCACAGATTGCTAATTTATAATGCTTTGTGTCAGGTAGCCATATTAAGTATTTTAATTCAACTTTCCTTTTTCTCTTAATAGCATAAAATGTCTGCAGAAGACAGTAAAAGATTCGTACCATATTATCTGCAAGTCATGTGCCTGTGAACTAGAGCTGTGTGCTAAGTGTGGAAAGAGGGAAGACGTTGTGATTCCGTAAGAATTTCTGTAATTCCATAAAATTACCTAAAGGTTACCTTAGGATCCATACTAAATTTGTCCTGTGAGATCATCAAGAGAGGGCCTGGTTAGGATCTTGTCACCACGCAAGTGAGGGGGACATGGGTTAGAAGCCAGGACTTCTCATCTGTGGAATCTACGTGCCCCAGGGATTTATGTAGCACCCTCATTCCTGGCCTTTTTGAAATTGTTTCCAGCATATACGGGTGGTCCCCAGGTTAAGAACGCCTGGGTTACAGACAATCCATAGTTAAGAATGGAGCCTATTGTAGCAAAATACACAATGATTTGAGTTAAATATATAATGGTTCAAATTAATTACACAATACTACTTATACAGTATTATACAATAATACCGTTCCAGCTTACTTACAAATTCAACTTAAGGACAGACCTTGGGAATGGAACTCATGCTTAAACTGGGGACTACCTGTATTTTTATTGGAGTTTTGATTCTTTTAATACCTAGTGAGGAAAAGGGTCATCATCTGCTTTATTTTTTTATTGCAGCATTATTGTGATTCATTACAGGTAGTCCTCGGTTACTGACCACTTGTTTAACGACCATTCAGAGTTACAGCAGCCTGAACGAGTGGTACTTACAACTGGTCCTTGAAGTTCCAGCTGTCCCAGCACCCCCGCGGTCATGTGATCGCAATTTGAGCACATGGCATCTGGCTCGCACTTAAGATGGTTGCAGCATCCCGCAATCATGTGATCGCCATTTGCGATCTTCCCTGCTGGCTTCCCACAAGCAAAATCAGTGGGGAAGCCAGTAGGGAAGGTTGCAAGTCACTCTTGTAAGTTGCTCCCGCTCCCACCACTTTCCCATGTCCCATCCCACCCTCCGCAGCACCCACCCTCTGCCCGGCCACGCTGATGACAGGTTGCACAGCCATCCACGTGCCCTTCCACCCTCCAGAGCACCCCCCTGCCTGCACTTGTGTGGTGCTGCAGCACCCCCTACCACTCACCTGCACTCTATAGCACTCACCTGCCTGCCAGCCTGCTTGTGAGCCTCCTGGGACTTGCAACTTCCTGCCGGCTTCCCCATTGACTTTGCTTGTGGGAAGGCGGCAGGAAGTCACAAGTCACTGTCACTGTCACATGAGACCCTTGCTTAACCACCCGCGATCCTCACTTAATTATGGCAATGGGGACTGCTGGGATTGCTGTTGCTAAGCGATGTGGTCATGTGACATCACGCTTTATGACCACATCGCTTAGTGATGGAAATTCCGGTCCCAATTACCATCATTAAATGAGGACTTCCTGTATTATATTATTGGGAGAGTCTTGTATACTGCCAGAGTCATTTGATCTGGGTCATTTGATCTGGATACATTTTTTGTTAAATAGATCAAGCTGAGAGAGAAACCTCTGCAAACTGAGCATCCGCTCCTTCTGCACCTCGGACTTTCCCTTCTGCTTGGAGTGGAGGTAGAAGCAAGTCCAAATGCAGAGGAGATTGAGTGTATGATATCATTTTGATTTGAAGTGTGCAAATCTATTATTTTGGTAATATACTTTAAAAATTATCTTGAGCAATCCTAAGTTTGATGCTGAAAACATGATAGCCTTATAAATAAGATGGCAAAATATTGATTGGATGCTACTACTTTAAGCAAATATAATCATCAGTGGCTCTACATGAACATATGGGAGTAGGCTTATATAAAATGCCATGAAGCTTTTACTTCCACTTTCTGATGCTCAGCATTGTTATATATATCTAGCTGTGAATATAAAAAGGTTGCATGTAACTGAAGCTAAGAAGGGTAATCGACACCAGAAAAGGCAGAATCAATATTCAAAAGGATTCCAAGAGGCTAGGATACTGTGCTGAAATTAGCAAGAGGAAATTTAGTAGAGAGGTATGTAAAATAAAATTTTGTGTTCAGGTTAAAAAAAATAGACATAAGTACAGGTGAAAC